TTACTAGCTGTGTGACACTGGGCAAGTCACTTAACTCTATTTGTCTCAGTTTCCTCATCTGTAAAAAGAGCTGGAGAAGGAAATGACCAACCATTCTAGTCTGTCTGCTAAGAAGACCCCTAATGGGGCATGAAGAGTTGGACAACACTGAACAGAACTATTCAACAACAACCATGTACTAGGCACTGTGCTTAGTTCTGAGTAGACAAAGGAAGGCAAAAGACTGTTCCTGCCCTCAAGGAACTTACAATCTCATGGGGGAGACAACATGTAAACATCTACCTCTAAACAAACAATAGATAGGATAAAGAGGAAATAATCAAGAGGGAAATTACTAGAATGAAGAAGTATTGGGAAAGGTTCCCTGTAGAAGGTGGAACTTTAGCTGTGATGTAAATATTGAGCCAGGATGACCTGAGTTCAAATCTGACCTCAGACACTATTTGTGTGACTTTGGGCAAGTCATTCTACCGCTGGCTGCCTCAGTTTCCTCATTTGTAAAAGGGAGATAATAATAAAACTTGCCTCCCAGGGCTGTTATAAGAATTAAATGAGATAATATTTGTAAAGCACTTAGCATAGTGCCTGACACACAGTAGATGCCTAATAAATGATAATTCACTGACTGCACCACTTTAGTAGACACTTAACAAATGATGACTAAAATTAAAAAATTAAATTTTCTCTCCCTGAGCAAATTACCTTGTATCAATTTTGTATAGAGCTTGCAAATACACATATTTAAACATGTCTTATTGCCCAATACAAGTTCCCTGAAGCCTGGGACATTCTCATTTTTGTCTTTATTTTCTCAGTACCCAGCACAGTGTCTGGTGTGCAGTAGGTGTTCAGTAAATGTTCAGTGGATCTCAGATATAAAGTTACGGACTGATTGATACATGTGCTAGGTTGGGGACATAAGAATAACATGAAACTGTCTTTGTATTCAGGAGATTCTATTCTACAAGTGAATTAGGAATAAATTCTATAGTAAACCTCAATCAACGAGTGTTTATGAAGCACCTACTTTGTGCCAGGCACTGTTCTAGACACCAAAGATACAAAGGAAAAAAATGAGGTAGTCCCTGCCTTCAAGGTGCTTGCTAGCTATTTTAGCTTTAAAGAATGTGTCATCCAGGTCCTGACAGCATTTGCAAAATACTGATAGGATTTTAAAATCACAGGTCCAGAGCTGGAAGGACCTCAGAAGCCAGCTAGGGCAACTTTCTCTTCTTACAGATGAGGAAACTGAGCCCCAGTGACTTTTCCAGCATATTATAGGAAGTAAGCATCAGAGGAAGAATGTGAATCAGAGTTCTCTGACCTGAGTCAGTACTCAAGCACTCTCTGCTGTCGTGACTGACATCTGCATTTAAAAACAACAACAACAATGGAAATCTTTCTAACCAACTCTGAATGTCAAGAACAGCCTTCATGAAAATTGGACAATAAGATGATAATAGAGGTCAGAAGCTCAGTAATGAAAATAATAATAATAATAATAATAAATAATTTGGAGAAATGAATCGAGATTCTCCATAGAAACAATGACATGAGATCTTCCCTTTCCCCTGGCTGCAGCCTGAAGGAAAGGTTTCCAAGCACCAAGATTTCTTTCATCCCGCCCCCCCGCCCCACCAGGCATCTGCCTAGAGAAACAGAAGAAGACAGCAGTGCCCTTCTCCCAGACGGCAGTACATCCCCTCCTCCAGCCACATGTGCTCGAGAGGGCAGCCACACTCCAAAGCGAACCAAGAGACAGTCCCTCTCAGGAAGCATGTGAGGATCAGCTGGACCAGGGCAGTGACAGACCAGGGAGCTCTAAGTCTTTCCTGCAAGGCCTTACACATCTTGGAGTGTGCAGCTGAGGGAGCGCCCAGCCATAGTGGCCCTGCATAGTCACCCTTTAGGGGAATATGGGGCCAACAGATCTACTTCTCTGCCCTGAAAATAATGGTATGGACACAAGGATTCTGAAGGAAAAAATCAAGGTCTCTTTAACCTGGGCACTAGCAGGGAACAATCGAAAAAGCCATGGATTTGGAGTCAGGGAAACTGGGTTCAAATCCCACTTTTGACATTTACTACCTCTGTGACCATGATGAATAAATCATTGAAAGCTTCAGTTTCTGGCCCTCAGTTTCCCCATCTGCAAAATGGAGGAGTTGAACCAGAGGATCTCTAAGGTCCTTTGCAGTTTTCAATCAGTTATCCTTTAACTAAGCTATGGAAACATCAAGCTTATAAACCCAACTCCATCTCACTGCTGTAATTGATGTGTTCCAATTGAAGGCCCCAGTATTCATCACCTTCTCCATCCACAGTACTGTGTATTTGCTCTGAATGGAGCTGAAGGGTGGCTGACACCTTTCATCATGCTACATTCATTTTGCTTCATTGTATTTCCTGGCTATTTTGTCACCAGCTGCTGTGTGCAGACCAGTCCCCCTAACACCCCCATCTACCTTCCAATTCTGGAATAATCTTCAAATTCATTACGCCACTGTAACTTTCCAAAACAAAATATCCCTTCCTGGTCACATCTCTCCTAAATGTGTCCTCTCCTCCATTCGTATGTAAGTCCTTCGAGAGATGGAATTGTCTACCCCAGAAGGTGCCGTGGATAGAGCTCTGGGCCTGGAATCAGGTGGACCTGAGTTCAAATCCTACCTCAGAAACTTAGTATCTACCTGACCTTGGTCACCCTGCATGACCTCAGTTTCTCCAACTGTAAAATGGGGATAATAACGGCATCTACCTTCCAAGATGCAATCTAATATGGAAACAAACAGAAGCTCCTGGGGAGAGGGAGAGGAGAGGACTCTTTCATTTCTGTCTCTATCTCTAGCACTTAACATAGTGATAGACACAGAGGAGGTGCTTAATAAATGCTCATTGAAAGATTAACCGAGGAAAATGTGAACTTCAGCCTGGGGCACCATACCTCCTTGATCTCATCCCAGCCCTTGAAGGAAACCAAAGGGTATTTCATTTCCCACCTTGGCTTTGCCCATGACAACACATGTACTCCATGTACCCAAGTGACTCATTCCCAAGGATTGCGAGTGTGAAACGGCCTGGGTTTTGACAGAGAGGGAGTGGGATAAGCATACTGGTGGGGCTGGGGAGAAGGAAGTAACAGAAAGGGGGAGAATTCAAATCATAAGGGGAAAATGACTCAAGAGCCAGAGCCAAATGGCTTGGCAGATGGCGCCATGTTCAGGGCTCTGCGCTGACAAGGGGAGGCTTTTTCCACTCTTCCTCATGCTGCCTTCATCGAATTTTATCTTTTATGTCAAGAGATCAAATAAAATGTTTAAAAAGGATCAGATTTAATGAGAACGAGGGGAAATAAACTGGTGCAATTAAAGAGTAAAAATAACCTCACTGTGGCTTCAGACCACAGGCGTTTTATAATTTTAAAGAAGGAGACATGAGCATAGCTCAAAGGGCCTGCCTCAAGGGCTCTGCCTGTCTCTCCCATGGTGGGGAGAGCGGCAGGCCGCCAGAGGTTAAGAACTAACCTATCTCTGCAGCCCAGAGGCACCCACAACTGGGTCAAATTAGTCAGATCAATTAAGCCTCAACATTGGTGCAAGGTAATCAAACCCTAGCCTTTTTTTTATGATACTTGAAGATGGGGAATACCCACCAATGGGTTATCATAGATGACCAGTTAAGCAGATTTTAAATTCCCAAGGAGTCTCCATACTTGATCAGCAATCACTTTTTTTTTCTCTCTTTCCTCTTTCTAGAATGATTTCTCATAGAATCCTTCTCATTTGCTCTCCAATTCAACGTGGCCTACCTGCCGAGCTCTATACACAGCATCCCTCTCTTTTTTCTGCACATGCCTGGAAAGCTCTCTCTCCTCACCTGTGTCTAGGAACCCCTTCAAGCCTCAGGAAGGGGCTACCAAGTACACAAGGCCTCTTTTAATCCTCCTCCCAAACCGAATCACCAATCTGGAGCTGAAAGGGTCTCAAAAAGCATCTATCTAGCCCAACACTTTCGAAATTAAGGAAACCTGGGTCCAGGGAGGAAAAGTGACTTGTCTGGGGTCACAGAAGTTGTAAATGTCAGAGGTGGGATTTGAACCCAGGTCTTTTGACTCTAAATTCAGAGCTCTTCCCATTGGACCATGATTGTTACAGAACTTTTTCCGGTAAAACAGTATCCGTATCTGTCCTTCTGGTTTGACCTATGACCTCCAGAGTCAATCCAGATCTACCTCGACTATAATACGAAAATGATATGGTACGATATAATCATTATGAGAAAGTATAATAAGATATACGGTGCAGTGCAACATAGTTCCATTGGATAAGCCCAGATTTATCTTAGATCAAGGGCCCTTATCCTCTTCTGTATCACGGGCCCCTTACTCCAGGGGTGAGGAACCTTCAGCCTCAAGGCCACATGTGGCCTTCTAGGTCCTTGGGTGCAGCCTTTTGGCTGAGTCCACATTTTACAGAACATATCCTTCTATGAAGAGGATTTGTTCTGTGAAGTTTGGATTCAGTCAAAAGGCGATACCAGAAGAACTAGAGGTCCACATGTGGCCGCAGGTTCCCCACTCCTACCTTGGGCAGTCTGGTGAAGTCCACAGACTCCTTCTCAGGGTAACATTTTTAAATGGATAAAATAAAATACAGAGGATTCCAAAAGAAACCATTATGTTGAAATAAAGTTGTATTTTTTTTCCAATCTAAATTCACGAAGTCCTTGAAATTTAGTCATAGGGTACATGGTCCCTGTCGTAGACAAAATCAAACCTTAGACCACTTTAAGTCCATAAGAGTTATTTCTCTTACATCCCAATCTGGACAGGAGTCTAGGCTTGATGAAGCCTAGATGGGCCTCTAGGATATAAAGAGGTGTTGATCAGTTACCCCATTCTATTTGTGCTTTCTTCTACGCAGACATGGGTTGTATCCCTTTTTCCCTACAAATTCCTTCCTCGGTCTTCTCCCCAAACACCATCCTGAGACCATACTTACCGATAGAATGTTGTGTAGTCTACAGCAGAATGACAGGGTTGAAACTCCCAGGCTTTGAGTTTCTGGCACTCCCGGTGTGCACGAAGCTTCACCTTCACCGTCCCTTGGCAAAGCTCTGGCACTGGCTTTCTCTGGGGCCGGTTGCAAAACTCATTCGACTCCACTCGCCAGGATTCAGCAAAATCATCCACATCAAACTTGAAGTTGCCATCTCCCCCAATTAAGTCATCCCGTTTGTGTCCGTTGTAATTGCCACAAAGTCCACAGAGTTTGCCCTGCAGGTGTGGGGCAGCCATGACTTCCACAAAACTGTCTCCATCCCAGGAGATTTCCAGGCCTGGAAGAGAAGGGAACAGAAGTTCAGTCCATCAATTTCCAACAATGACATCCACTGCAGCCATATTCATTGTCTTTGATAGGTGATCAATAGCCAATTCTTTTGTAAGACAATCCAAGAGACATCAAAATCCCTTCACTGTACTGGAACCTAATTGTATTTAATAGTACATAAAATTAAACTGGGTCTTAGCTGGGTTGGGAAAGTTGGTACATGTATTTTTATGGCACACACAAAAACATATTATACTAGTATTTGTTTTAACAAGAGTTGATTCATATATTCCCAATATTTATTCCTATATCTGAGCCTACTTAGCATGCTTATGTTGTTATTTACATCAACTCAACAAACAGGTATTTACTACGTGCTGAGTGCTGTGCCAGGAGCTGGGGATACAAAGACAAAAATGAGACACTCCTTGCCCTCAAGGGAATCTATTCTATTGAAAGGTCACAGAAAATACAGTTAAGTCAATACAGAATACATCTACTAAGTAATTTCAAGAAGGAGAGCTAGTGGACCATTGGGAACACTAAGACAAACCTCGTGTAGAAGTGGTACCTAAGATGTATTCTGGAGAAAATCAAGGGTACCAAGAAAGAGGGGAAAGGATGGCAGTCCATCCTAGGACTGCCACCATCATACCACCATGTCCATCATCTCTAAGAAAAATAACATGACACAGGAGAAAGAGCCCTGGAATTGGGAGTCTAAAGACCTGGATTCATATTCTAGTTTCACAACTTATTAAATTTATCACTATGGGCAAACTCAGTACAGCTCTCTCAGTTTTTGATTCTCATGTCTGCAAAATGGGAATAATAAGTATTCACACAACATAGCTCACCAGTGTTAGGAGGGAGGTGTTTTGGAAATCTTAAAAGTATTATATACATGTTGTCTCCCCAGTTAGAAAGTAATTAGGATCCCTTGAAGGGAGGAATTGTCTCACGCTTGTCAATGCATCAGGGCAGGGTGCATTACAAACGTTTATTAAATGCTTGTTTATTGTTGTGACTAAAGAAAGTTCACTTAGCCTTTTTTGTGCTTCAGTTTCCTCAGCTATAAAATGGGCATAATATCAATCAAGCTCCCTAACACGGCTGTTATAAGGCAAGTGCATTTTAAAACTCCAAAACTCCCTATAAATGTATGTTATTGTTATCATTAGTTCCTCGAATTTAGATATTATTCCTGTCCAAATCACTTTGGGCTACCTTCAAACAGAGAGGGGTGAGGTTTTATCATTAAAGAGCTTCACCTTTTTCTAGCACATCAAGTTTACTAAACGCTCTCCTCCCAACACCCTTGTGGGTTACATAGTGCAAGCATTATCTCCAGACGTGACTTTTCCCATGCAGACACAGTGTCTGAAGTGGAATTCAAACCCTGACCTCCTGATTTGAAGTCCAGTTCTCTGTCCACTACACCACTATAAACATAACATAAATCTCTGCTTTGAGCCTTAAGTACACAGACCCTTAGTCTCAGGAGTAGGCCCTCCCATAAAGGAGAATGAGACTCTTTTAGCACGTGATTACGGACAGAAACATTGTAGGAAGAATAGTACATGAAATATCTGTTCCCCATGTGCTTTTTAATGACTGCCCCATTGCCTTCCACTCCCAGTTAAGCTCCTATGAAAAGAAAAGTCTTTCATTCTGTCATAATTGGAGAACACAATGGGACCACTGAAAAGAATACTATGGGGCCCTTCTTGAAAGGTTTAAAGTCTGTTTCCCTGAAAGATCAGGATCTCAGCCACTCATCACAAATGGTTGATCTTCAGGAGGGGAGACAAAAAGGATGGGTCTGAAAACAGAGGAAAAGTCCTCCCTAGATATCAAATGGCCCCAGAGCTGACATATGGTTACATCACAAAGAAACAAGATCAATAAGAACTCCCCCACTGGTAAGATTCCAAAAGCCATACTCCCTACACTTGGATGTCATCCAAAAGGAGAGAATGAGAGCCAAGTATCATTGATATATGGTTAGGACACTCCACTGCCACATCAAAGGGAAGGAAAGTAGAGACACCTGTCAAAGAAAGTGATCTGGGAAGAAAGCCTGTGGCTTTTAAACTGAGTTTCTGTAGAAACAAATGCAAAGATTCCATGCAGAGAAGCACAAGGAAGGGAGATAGTCTCCAACCAACGTGTGTGGTGGGGAAGACAGGGTAAGGACTGCAGGAAAGCTTGAGGAGAAAACTTGCTCTCAAAATTGTTTCATCAGGAAATCTACAGGAAAGTTTGTCTGGGAGTAATTTATCCAGGGAAGATGGCCAGAGCACTAGCTGAACATTCAGTCAATCGATAAACAAGCATTACTAAACACCTACTACATGTCACACACTGTACTAGGTGCTAGAGAAGTAAAAGTTTCTGTCTGCAATGAGCTTACATTCTGCTAGGGAAATAGAACACATATTTGAGGAGTTAGGGCCCAGCAAAGTAGTTTTGGCATAGGCCAAGAGTTCTTAACCTAGAATCCTTGATTTTTTAAAAATTTATTTTGATACCTGTATTTCAATATAACTGATTTTCTTTGTAATCCTATGTATTTTATTTTATGCATTTAAAAACATTATTTTCTGAGGATCCATTTATAGATTTTAATGGATTGTCAAAGGGGTCCATCATACACAAAAAGGTAAAGCATCCCTGGTCTTGGTAATTGCAAGGATTGCAAATAGAGTCCTGGGATATTCAATTGTCACGATCTTCCTAGTAATATTGGTTTTAATTATTTTTCCCTGAGCAAGAAGAGTGGGGGGAGGAAGGCAGGGAAGAAAACAGTGTTACGTGAGCAGCTGCAGGGCAGATGGCAAGATGCCTGTTCAGTCCAGGACCTGATGCTGGGGAGAGTGGATGTATGGGCCAAAGATAAAGCGTGGCATGGGGGAGTGGAACTAGCTTAATACAGGGAACTGAGACAATGGGAATGGATTCATTCACACACCATTCTAGGCATAGAAGATAATGTAGACTATATTGACAATACAAAGAAGATTGCTTTGCAACCATCTGATTGAACTCATGTTTTGTTTTATTTTGTTTGGGGGGGAGGGTCCAGATCTATGAATTCATTAGGATAGGAAATCTCCTAGTATGAACATTCCACCATGCAGATCAGTCATTCAACTTCCTCTATCTCTTAAAATCTTAAAGTTGCCTGGGGCACTGAATAGTTAAACTCTTTACTCTGTGGTCATAGAACCAGTGTGTGTTGGAGGCAGGATTTGAGCTCAGATCTTCTTGACTCCAAGACCAGACTTCTAACCACTGCACCATGTTGCCTCACAGTTATTTAGGATGAAATAAAAGTAAGACATAGTCCGCAGTTTTTTGAGACACAGAAATTATTATCATGAAGAAAGCTTGATCAACAGAGAGGTAGATTGCAGGAAGCCAAAACATAGTATGGGAGAAACCTTCCCAAGGATAGCCTCCTCGCATCCGACCAGGATAAGACAAAGGACCCCAAGGCCCAATCCTTCTCTTAGACATTTGGCATTCTGATTTTCTCTCTTGAAAGCTCTTCCAAAGGTCAGCCATCCTTTCCTAGTCAATTCTATTCAATTCAACTAGCATTTATTAAGCATGTACTATGTGCCAAGCACTGGAGCTACAAAGAAAAAAAAAAGAGTCAAGTCCAGCCTTCAAAAAGTTCACTTCCTACTCTAAGGAAACAATTTGTAGACAGATAAATAAGTAAATAATGAATATGTGCCAAGTAATTGTGATTCTTGGGTAGCCATGGTTAACCGGGCAAATCAGGAAAGGTCCAATTTTAGGAGGCGGCTGTTGAGCTGGACATTTTCCCCACCTGGAAAGACACATCCTATTCTTTGAAGGTCGTTATATTTGATATTTGAAGGTATTTGTTGAGTTCTCTGAAAGCTTCGGCTGTTTCTATTCACCAAACAATGGAATACGATGCAGATTGGGGAGTTCGGAAGGATACTACAGCGAAGGTCAAGTCACCCTTCATGCTTGCCTCTACGACCTTTGTGTCTACAGAAGCCACGGTTCAAGTTGGCTCCATATTTTATCAATGCTTCCCTTCCCCACATTTGTGGCATTTCCATTTCAACTTTCCCTGCTCATTTTGTGGTGTAATATCTTCCTTTTGACTATACTCATGGAAAGGTGATTATAACACTCAAAGGGGAGAAGCTAATGAGCTGTAACGAAGGAAATAACCCTTCAGGATATCAGTCTTGAATGGTCATCCTCCTCAATGAAGCATTTTGGAAGTGCCTTGGGGGTTTATGGGCTGGCTGTTCTCTTTGCAGCTGGGATGAGCTCCCCCATTCTCCATCCTAGACCTTGGACTGAAGTAACTGGCAGATGGTGAAGTTTAAAACTGAAGCATATGTTCCATCTGCAGCTGTGAAGAGTGGCCGCATTCCTTTTCTTGCATTCCGAGGTCTTCCAATTTCCTCTCCCCACTAGTGAATGCATTGCCTTACTGTTCTCCACCCACTTATTCTACGATGCTGGCAATCCTGGTCCTAGATCTCAGGTGGGTACTGTTAATATTCTGATTTTATTTCCTGTGTTGCTATCATTTGCTTGAAGGAATGAGAGATTTTTTTTTTAAAGATCATAAAAACCCAAAGGTCTCACAGAAAAGACTGAAAGAATGCCACTCTATCTCTTATACAAGAATATAAAGGCCTTGAGGATAGGGATTGCTCTATTTTTGTCTGAATGTCCCTGGTACCTGGCACAGGGGGTGGAATACTTAATGCATGCTTATTGATTGATTGAAATGATGAATAATGAAGCATACCTTTCCCCTCCCAGCAGAAAGGTAATGGCCTACCAGGACAGAATAGGAGACACATTGTTAGATACAATCTCTGCCTTGGATCCTTGTGTTTAATTACTTTACTTTGTCCTAAGGGAAGATTCAACCTGAAGGAGGTTGTTAAGAGTTGACCTGAAGTAAAGTTACAAGTCAGCAATAATTGTTGGATTTGTTCATTTGTCTATTTTCTTGTTTTTTGACCTTTTTTTTTTTAAATTCATAGCTATTCCCTTGGAATTTCTTGAGAGAAATGGGTTTCTTCAGAATTTTGCTCCAAAGAGCTGGATACATTTTCTGGATTTAACAAATATAGGTCTCTAGGAAAAGCTGTATTCCAAACCAAACCACTTCAGTTCAACGTGACAACTATTAAGCACCTACTCTGTGCCGGCCTACAAAACAACAACAACAATAATAACAACAACCTTGATAACAAGAACATTACATTCTCCTGGAGGGTGGGGGGTGGGGGGCACAACATGTTTATAGAGAAGGAAATCTAACTTGAGGAGGCACAGGGAGCACTAATAGCTAGGGGGCTTTGAGGATAGACCTCCTCTAAGAAGAGACACCTGAGGTGAGCCCCTGAAAGGATTCTTGGAGGCAGAGATGAGGAGGGAATACATTCCAGACATATGGGAATAGTCTGGCCCTAGATATGGAGACAGTAGATGCAAATCCACCCTTCTTAGCAAGAGTTAGCTCTTCTGGATAGAACTTGTGAGGTGGTGCAAAACAGATGTTAAAAAGGGGCACATTGTGTAAAAGTGCTAAGGCCTGCCAGGGTGGGAGGCTGGAAGGGAGGGCTAGCTTGCCTCCCCGCAGCTCCCCTCCCCTCCCTAAAACTTTTGCCATTGTGGGCTATTGAGTGCACTGGTCCAGTTGGGTTCCAGCCATGCTCAAAGAGCACTGTCCTCCTACCCTAAGGCCACAATGCAGGGCTAAGTCCTCAAGCCAGCGAGGCGGCAAGCACAGGCTTTCTTCCCCCATGCCTCCTCTGCTCCCAGCTGCAAGGTCCATTTCAGCTGTTATTTTGCAATAATTGCTCTCTCATCTCAGACAATGATCAACTTCTGGCTACGAAATGAAAAACCCACAGAGCCCAAGAGAAACACTATGGCATTCTAAGCCAACAATAGGTGATGAAAACATCTGTAGAGGGTAAAGCTGAGGGGCTTGGCTCAGCCTGGGTAAAGAACACCATTGTTTGGAAATGTATTATTTTTCATTCAGAAGATAATCCCAAAGCACAGTTTAAGGCCCAGTAGATTACATTTTTTTCACCCCAGGAAGTTGAAAACCTTGTGTGTTTCTCTCTTCAGGAAATTATTCAGCTGGGTATTATTAGGAGCTGTCCATAAATTATTGGCATTCTGTTAAGGGCAATTGAAGAGGAAAATAAAGGCCTGGGTTCAAGCCCAGGAATGTCTTTCACTTTGCTTATCTTCATAGGGTGATCATGATCGATTTCTATTTTGATAGCAGTCGATTCCTTCCACTCATTTTACAGACTGAGTTCATCTCCTGGAGTGCGCTCATTCCATGAGCCTATCTTTGCCAGCTAGCTCTGAGCAGACCAGAGCATCCCTAGGTCTCTGTAATCCTAAAGGATCCGGAATCCTTTTGTTCTGAGACATAGCAAACTAATAACTAATTACAGCATTCCAATTCATCACGCTCAGTTTGTGCCAAGGGTGAGAGGTTGTTGAGTCCTTCATAATGACGGTCCTCTTGGATGCACCCTAACATTTGTTCTCCTCCAGAGAAATAAGCTGTGGTGGCTTATTTTTAAAAGGGCTGGATGGATTTGGAGTTGCAGGCTTTGGTTTAAAAACTCACCTCTCTGCTACTTAATTCCAGTGTGTTCCCTCAAGTGAGTCACTTTCCAAGTAAGCCTCAGTTTCCTCAGCTACAAAAAGAAAGTGGTTGGACTTGATCATCACTCCCTCCCCCCCAAGGTCTCTTACAGCCCTAAATCTGTGATCTTCTGAGACCTGCATTTGCTAGAATTGTGTATGTCCTTCAGACTCAAACAGAAGCTTAGATTTTCTGTCCTTTCTTTTCCTGAAAATAAGGAGGTAGAGAATCAACATAACTTCTTGCCTCTAGCCAGGAATCACTTACAAGCTGAAATCTGCCTCGCTGCTTTTAGAGAGGGTTCCCTCAGATTCTTATTCGACGTTTCTCCTCCCTCTGAACCAAAGGTCTCTTGGTCTCAGTGGGCCTGACACACGATCATAATAAATGTCTCCATTTCTTCCTCTTGTTTACCCATGCTGGCATTCCATGGGCTCAAATCAGTTTAGCAAAACAAACCTTTGGCCCTGAATTCGAACCATTAACATATTTCCCACCCAAGGCCCAGAAGAAAGAGAGAAGTCTGCTGAGAGCTACTCCCCTTGCCAGGTTTGGCTGTGGTCAATGTTTCCCCCCCACATCTGTTCCGTTCAAAAATAAAAATAAATGTCTGTAGAACCTACAGGATCAGACACTCATCAGAGTCAACTAGGGCACCATTTTGTCCATCAAAGGAGAGGGTAACTTTTGCTAGAAATAGTTTCTACAATTTTGAGCTTACTTCCTTGAAAAAATATATATCTGCAGAGAATGCAGCTCAGTGCTATTTATTCCACGAGCAGCATCATGACATATACCTATATAACACATATGCGTGCATATATAACTACATGTGTGTGCATATACACATGTATGTATGAGTTTGTATATATTGTATAAATCTAGATGATATGGATATAGATATAGGTGTAATGAGGACAGTTACTGTGTACTTAGCAGTCACAGAGTAGAGGGTACCAACATAACCTGTCCCCAAAAATGGTCTGAAAAACTGCTGTCCTTGTAGCTCGATGGATACTCCAGTAGAATATTGGGTTCTAGCCCAGCAGCCAAAGGAGAGAGTACGGTTTTCCTAAGGAGTTCCTTTGTTCCCTGGGAAATAACTTCTCTACTTGAAAAGACTAGCCCACAATGTGTGGATGCACCAAGAAGCTCCGATTTTAATGGCATAGGAACTTATTCCACTGCATAGGGTATGGGCCACGTGGAACTTAAGAGTTCTTGGGAAGTTGCCTGAGGTTCTGAGTTTGGATAAGTGACTTGCCCAAGGTCACTCAACTAGTTATCGGTCAGAAGTAGGATTATAACTAGGTCTTCCATATTCCAAGCCCAGCACTCTGTCTGCCACACAAGGCTGACCACTTAGCAATGGGTCTGCTGTGAAGCGTTTGGTGTTCAACAAAAGGATTGGCCCACAGAGCAGACTCACTAAATCAGAGGCTCCCTGAGATGAAATTTTGAGAAAGAACAGCAGCAGGGCAGGGAGAGCCACCTTCCAGAAGCCTAAGAGAAGTGGGAGGTCACAAGGCAAAAGCTTTTCATCCTAGATAAAGTAAAAGAAGAACCAAGGTGGTAAACAGTGTCCATAGTCTTAAACCAAAGGAGAGCCTCCATGTGGGAGAAGCATTGCTGCCCTGCTCATCAATCTCTCTCTCCCTCTCTCTCTCTCTCTCTCTCTCTCTCTCTCTCTC